TTTTTATGACCCTCACTTATGGTCAACTATAAATGTTAGTTGATCACGTTACCTGTGCAAGCCAATGTTTGAGATACTGAGATACTGAGAAGAGATGAAAGGAGCTCAGAGTGTGGCTGGGGAGGCAAGCGCACCATGAAAAGACCTTGATCTCCCCTCCTTCATCTGTGCTGTCATCGAGCAAACGTGCACGGAGCCTGCCGTGCACCAGGCGCTGTAAACAAGGTGCCATAAGTGTCTGAGACGCAGGAGACTTGAGTGCAGAGGAGGGAGGTACCCAGGGCACTTGGTGGTCAGGGAGGGCTTTCTGGAAGAGGCGAGACCTGGGCCAGGCTCTGTGGGAGGGGTGGTGTTTAGGTGACAGGAGAGGAGAGAGTGTCTGGTCAGAGTGGGTGTCCCTGTGAGCTGAGCCCGAATCGGGGAGAACTCACATTCTGGAGAGTACCAGCCATGACACCGGACTTAGCAGTAAGCAGATATCTTTCAGGCTCCCACCATCCACCACACCCGGGGCTCAACGCCAACACCCGTGCATCCTTCCCTCCAGGCTCGGAGGTGGAGGGTCCCTCCTGAGAGGCTGAACCCCGCCTCATGGGGGTGAGAGCCTGTTGCCTCCATCTCCTCGGGGTCTTGATCCTTCGCTCCTGTTCTCCACCCTGAGACCAGCCAGGGCTCTGCCTTGTGTGCCCCTCTGCACGGTCCAGAGCCTTCGACCCTCCTGAACAGCCAGGAAAGCATAACACAGCAGGGCTCCGAGCCGTGTTCTCTCCTTTTCCGCCGCAGCAGACCCTGCAGCCGGATGCTCCGTGCTTCCCCAGCTCACAGTCACCAGGCGCCCCTCCCCGTCCTCCCCCCTCCCCAAACTGGTTGTCTCCAGCAGCCAGCACTGTGGACCGCTCCCCAGGGCTTTAAACACTCTCCTCCCTGCCTCCCAAGACCTGCTGCTCCTCCCTTCTCAGCCCACTCCTTCCCCTGCAGCCTCCGGAGCACAGGCCGAGGCCTTGACTGTTGCATGCGTCTAAATGAACAGTTTTTACCCTAAACAAGCCCGTCGTGGGGAAAGACACCCAAACCGTCAACCTAAGAATCATGCTCAACTGTCCGACAACCGTCCTTCCCCTCTGCTGAACTGTCACCCCCGTTTCTTGTTGCTACTTTCTTACCGATTGTGGGATCAAGATTTATTCCGCCTCCACCCCCGCTGTCTGCACTCAGGCCTGTACAATTTTTTCCTGGCGCCATCCTTTCAGTGGCATTGGCTCACTTCGTGTCTCAGGGTCACTGTTTTTCAAACTTTTTCGTCATTAGGACATTTGTTACGGAGAGCTGTGAATAGTGGTCTTTGATGTGACTGTTGTAAAAAGATTAGGACTGGCTGAAGGCTCAGATGATGGGCAGCATATTTGAG